ATGAGCTGTTTATATCTACAGATGCCATATACTGCTTCTGTCTGCCAGTTTTTGATAGGCGACATCAATAGCGCGGTTCACCTGCTGCTTTAAATAGACTCAGTGATCGGTATCAGCTGATACTGCTTCTAGTAAAGTGTCTCAGGTTCATTACAGGTAGGTGCTGAGTGTTTATGGGATGCTCCACGTTAGCTCGCTTTCATGGCACACTTGGCTGTTCTCGCCACAGACGTAGATTTTTCCACTGCAGTCTTAGCCGAGCAGAGCTGCAGTCTCCAGTGAATTCCAAACACACCATAGGTAAAAAATCAAGTAGAATTTAATTGATGTTTATAGAAAAATCTTATTCTCACCTATTAGCCAATTAAAATAAGTAGACAGTGAAAGCGTTTGTTGCATGTACAATTAACAACACTTTGCATGTATTTATCGACCACAACAACAAATGTAAATTTGATCATCAGCTAGCTGTATGGGTGTAGATATGAGAATTCCCCTAACAGCTCTGGTAAAAATAGACTTGACGCTGAAAATATTGCTCTGTTCCACGTTTTGAAGTGCCCGTGCAACTTATCTAACCAGCAGTCGAGTTTCAAACAAAATATGCACCTAGCTTTATGTAGGCGATCTGACTGAGGGGCTATAATACGAATTCAGGCCCCCCCCCTCTCTAAACTTCCAGTTTTTTTACAGGTTTTCCAGGACCCGTGGGAACCCTGCACTTTGCATTACACGGCACGGATGCAGGGAGGAAGTTAGCGTGAAGGAGAGTGAACATGACACAGAACAGGGTAATTCCGAACAGGAGGACTCTGACCAGCCCGAGACTAAAGGGGTTACTTCTGTATGGACGTGGTTTGGGTATGAAAAGTCTGAAACGTACCAGAAAACCAGAACCCAGTCCCCACAGCAGACACAAACACCACTGACTTCTTTTACCACCTACACAAGAATCATTTCAAAAAGCACAGAGAGCTGTTAATGGGGGCTGCTGCGACTCACATCTCCAAAAATTGTAATAATAAATTCTAAGCTTTTCCATGTGGTCACTTTAAAATGTGCTATATCGTCATATGTATCGTTGGATATGAAATGAACTAGATCGGGATATATGAGGTTTTGGGGGTATCGCACAGCCCTAGGGGACAATGACAGTGACAGTGAACCCCTCTTACTATTAATGCTTCATTATTATTTATCCATTTCTTCATTGCACAGTATTTAATGTTGTGTTTACCAAAAGCTTTTCAAACAGATGCCTTACTGAGATATTAAAGACTGCTGTTGTAAACACAGTACATAGAGAACATGAAGCTACACGGCACAGGCAGCAGCATTCATCAACCACCTCATCTAAATGCTGCAGGGCTGAGTGTGTGAGATACAGAGCTGGCCCACTGTTGGCCCCCTGTTTGCGGTGTTAATGGAAACCTTACTGCGTGAAAACTCGATAATGGAACCGTGTCAATAACTAACAGGAACTAACGACATTAGCAGCAGCAAAATGTGTTCTTTATTTCCTGCAATCCAAATGATTTCCGCTTCTGAATCATGACTGTTGAGGTTGAGTGACTTTTTCCCAGAATCTGTCTGTTCCGGTGGCGTTAATAAATACAATGTAGCGTGTTAATACACCCTTCTCTGAGGGGATGAATGAGTGAAAACCTGTAGAAGACTTAAATAAAGGTGCAGATTTTATTTTTTATGGCTCCAGTTCTCGAGCCTACCTGCACTACACCCTCTTCCCAGCCTCGGATCACTTCCTGCTTGCCAATCTTGAACCGGAAAGGCTTGTCCCTGTCACGAGATGAGTCAAACTTGCGTCCGTCTGTCAGGGAGCCTGTGAACAAGGAGATGGACAGAGACACAGAGTCAGAACGGAAGTGGTGCAATGGCCAGTGTTTTCTGTGGGTGAAAAATGCAGCCATTAGCTCTGAATTATAGGATTTATCACTGTGAGAACTCCTGCTGCAGAAAAACATGTACAGCCCGGATAATGATTAAAAATACTGGCTCTCAGAATGAAGGAACTGTATTTATAACGTTTCATAAAAACACTGCAAACAAATACATCCTCCAGGCTCATCTGACATCCATCTTTCCTGCTGCGTGTATATTGAGAGCGCAAATGAAGGGATTCCAGGGATCTCAGAAATAGCCGCTGCAGCTGTCTGCAGGGTGGGTTTCAGTGTGACAGTCAGGAAAACGCAAGCATCAATCTGCAGAATAGCTCCCCTCCAAGACTATTTGCGCCAGCACTATTACTGTTATTAGCCCCGGCAAGGCGGCGTGTGTGTGATGGTTTAGTTCGGTGCAATGTGAGTGTGTGTGTGGTGTGGGAGAAGGTGCAACATTGTGCATGTTGTTGGGCACATCAGGGGGCGGCTGGCAAGATGCAGCCTATAATCCATGCAGTGGAGTGGGTGTCCTGTCCTCTTCTGGACATCGAGAAAGCAGCCTAATGAAATTAGCTAAAAGGTCCGGAGTATCAAAGCCAACACACTGAATCTCCTATTTAACCACCAAACAACACAGCACTGACATTTTCACACGCTGACCGTTTCCTGCAGGCAGAGCCTCTCCAAAAACGCAGCCAATACATGTTTTGATCTACACTTGGACGTCTACATTTTAAAAGGCTTGTGTGATGAAAGATCCTGTTTCATGTCGCATTTCAAGGCCGCTTTGTAGGCTGACAGGAAGGTAGACTGCCCAAGGGGGAAATCCTGTAGTTTGTGTAATACATAAAAAAATAACAGAAAAAGATGCAGGCTCATGCCTGAACAGAAATTAAAAAATGCTTCACTGTGCAGAGATCAAATGGGGACTTACTTCCGGTTACATAATGTTCAAGCAAAGAGGCTTGTATTACAGAGTGAGTTATGTCTGAAGACTGAGGCCAGCTTTGCCAGACTAAGAACAGGTGCAGACAAATATACAGTCTGGCACGCTGGGAGGCAAAATCCATCTTAAATCACATTTTGCTGCTGATGATTCATGTTTTGTTTTTTCTACTGTATTTAACTTCTTTCTTTTAATACATTTCTAGCCATGCTAGCAGCAAGTCTGTCTGTCTGCTTTGGGCCAGACTGAAATATCTCAGCTGGGTGCCATGAAATTTGGTACAGACGTTGGCGGTGCCCCAGAGGATGAATCCTACTGACTTTGGTGATCCCATTATTTTTAAAGCTGCAGTAGGTAACTTTTATAAAAATAACTTTTGTCATA